CCTGGAACTGTCTGGAGGCACGACTAATATGCCAAAACGAAGGGGAAGCCGGAGAGAGAAGGTGTTATTGTGGCTCCTTCCCGAAAGGTTGCCAGTGCTGCCTGGAGCTAGGCGGCTCCAGAGGGACAGTGGGAGCAAGAGTCCCAGGATGCCGGAGCTGAGGGCCACCTCTCTCCCCACGGGAGACACCATCCGCCTGGTGGGCCAAGACCGCAGAGGGTCCAAAGCCGTAAGCCTGTGTGAATAGTTCAGTTGAGGGGTCAACGGCCATTGTGGGGATGAAAACAAACTGGGAGTTGGACACAGGCACCTATGGGTGTAGGCAAGGAGGCTCCATGGGGAGAATCCTGCTTTGGTGCTAGATCTTTTTGCGTCTATGGCTGTACATAGGCACAAAGGCTGGGAGGCTCCATGGGGATGTTGACAATAAGTGTGGGAGGCTCCATGGGGACATTAGCCATAAGTGTGGGAGGCTCCATGGGGACATTGGCGATAAGTGTGGGAGGCTGGGAAGGCCCCATGGGGACGTTGGCCATAAGTGTGGGAGGCTGGGAGGCTCCATGGGGACATTAGCCATAACTGTGAGAGGCTGGGAGGCCCATGGGGACGTTGGCCATAAGTGTGAGAGGCTGGGAGGCTCCATGGGGACATTAGCCATAAGTGTGGGAGGCTCCATGGGGACATTGGCGATAAGTGTGAGAGGCTAGGAGACCCCATGGGGATGTTGGCCATAAGTGTGGGAGGCTGGGAAGCTCCACGGGGACGTTGGCTGTAAGTGTGGGAGGCTGGTAGGCTCCATGGGGACGTTGGCCGTTAGTGTTAGAGGCTCCACGGGGACGTTGGTCATAAGTGTGGGAGGCTCCATGGGGACGTTGGCCATAAATGTGGGAGGCCCCATGGGGACATTGGCCATAAGTGTGGGAGGCTGGGAGGCTCCATGGGGACGTTGGTCATAAGTGTCTATGGGTAGTCATAGGCACATAGGCATTGCAGGAAATGCGGTCGCAGCCATTGACTCTCTTGTGCCATCATTGCCCTGGCAGATTTGTGGGAAGTTAGCATTGTCAGTGGTTCCCCGCCTGTGGCTCCCCAGATATTTTGGCCTTCAACTCCTCGAAATCCCAACAGCTGGCAAACTGGCTGGGATTTCTGAGAGTTGTAAACCAAAACACCTGGAAACTCACAGGTTGAGAACCACTGCGGCATACATGGTAGAGGTAGTCAGGCAACTCCAGAGGAAAGACCCAAGATGCCAAGCCAATTACCCTATTTATATAATGCTCACTTTTTTTTTTTTGCTAAATTACATTCCCAAAAATAGGGTGCGCATTAGTGCATTAGCAATATGGTAATCTTCGTGCTGAGCCAAAACAAAAGGGAAAGCTACTTCAGGAGCACATGGAGCTCCTATCCCCCCCCCCCCCCCCCCCCCCCCCGATTAGATTCGATGGCACATTAGACTTGAGTAAATGCGAGTAATTAATTACAAGACTAAGTGAGCGAGAAACATTAGCCTTCATGGCTCCCGAGTGTTTGCATTTCCAAACAGGAAAATGCAAACGAAACAAGGAGTGGGGGCAAAAGGCCTCCTAAATGCTATGGGAGAGGCAGAGTGTCTCCTTGTCTTTAGGATTCCCTGATAGAAAGTATGAAACAGTTGCGTTGGACTGTGATGTTGGCCTTCTTAATGGGCAAGGGGCCTACAAGCTGAAGTAGCAGCTAATGTGTTTTACTACAGAATTCTTTTGTGATCTTTGCTTTGGAGAATGAGACACACATCAGCTGAGCCTAGTTTTAAAAAGTACTCCAAGCATTGTGTGAGGTCTAACATTGTGCTGTACGTTTAATACATGTGGTTCCCATGTTATGATCAAGACACGCATGTTGTTATGTTGAATTCCTAAGTCGGAACAAGTACATTTTTAAGTGTAACTCCAGATATATATATATACATATACACACATATGTATGGAGTTACACTTAAGGTAAAGGTTTCCTCTGACATTAAGTCTTGTTGTGTCCGACTCTAGGGTGATGCTCATCTCCGTTTCTAAGCCGAAGAGCCAGCATTGTCCGCAGACACCTCCAAGGTCATGTGGCCAGCATGACAGCATGGAGTCCCGTTACCTTCCCATTGGAGTGGTACCTATTGATCTACTCACATTTGTATGCTTTCGAACTGCTAGGTTGGCAGAAGCTGGGGCTAACAGTGGGAGCTCACACTGCTCCCTGGATTCAAACCACCAACCATTAGGTCAGCAAAGTTCAGCAGCACAGCGGCTTAACCTGCTGTGCCACTGGGGGCTCCATGGATATTTGGATAGCATAGGGAAGGGTTAACACCTTTGTAGTGCTCGTTTTGCTGTCTGCACCCTTGTTCAGAAGATTTCACCTCACTTTCTGTTCCTGTGCTCATTGGATTTTGAAAATTTTGGCTTGTGGAAACAAGGACTGGTGATAAAGCTTCAGTAGAGACACCTTTTTCCCATGATAACTCTTCCAAGACTGAATTTCCTTCCTGAGGGGTAGATCCCTCTCACTTCCTGTTGTCCCACCCGTTCTTAACTATGAGTTGTTTGCAAGCCAGATGTTTGTACCTCGGGAATGGTCTATACTTCCATTTTCCTTCAGAGGCACTGTCAGTTGCAACAGGGCACCTTTCTGTCAAGTGGCAGGTGCTTCCTTGGGCCCACCATAATAACTCTTCCAAGACCGAATTTCCTTTCTGAGGGGTTGATTCCTCTTGCATCCTGTTGTCCCACCTGTTCTTAACTATGAGTTGCTGGTAAGTCAGATGTTTGTAACTTAATGGTCTGCACGTCTCTTTTCCTTCAAACATACTCAGTTGCAACAGGACACATTTCTGTCAAGTGGCAGGTACTTCCTTGGACCTGCCATTTGCCCATTTAAGTGCAATGTAGAGATCCCATGGCCTTTGCTAATGACACGCAACATGTTGTATGTGATTAATCCTCTGGATATGCGTGCAACAGGTCAGCTTTCCCATGTTACTTTCCATCACATCCCCGAAACACAGAAGGCATGCACTCCAAGACATGCACAGACAATGCTAACTTTCCACAGAGACTGTTTGTGTTGCCTGTCAAACAATCGCCTCTCTAGGTTGGCTCATTGAAGGAGCCGGGAAGGAAGCATGTCTGCTGTGATGACAGGCGCTGTTGAGAGAGTGGCATCCGAGAGAACAGAAGCTGTGAAATAAAAAACCTTTAAGCATGATAACATCCGAGAAAAAGAAGAGAAAAAAGGATAACCCACCTGCAAAGAGGGCGAGGCCTTTGAACTGAAAGCAAAGAGACCTCCAAGTAGGCCTGCCTGGGAAGGCCCAATGGCAGGGAAGGGAAGGCAAGACAGCCCTCCTGGAGCCTCTCAGAGCAGAGGCTCCCTCACCTCAAAGGCCCTGGGTCTCTTTGATGCCCTTTTATCCACAGAGACAGCCCTGTCTTCTGGGACCCCCTCAGAGAAAGACCCCTTCCTTCTGCCTTCACATCCCCTAGAGAAAACCCTTTACTCTGCCTTTTCACTCAAGGACAGACCCCTTTCTTCTGCTCTTGTTTTCCTTCCGAGAGCCCTTCCTTCTGCCTTCACTTCTCCTTTCTCCCCTTAGATAGAATGCCCATTCTTCTGGGGCTTCTTTTCCTCAGAGACCCCTTTATTCTGCCTTTCTTTCCCTCAGAGAGAGCCTTTTTACTCTGTCTTTTCCCTGAGAGAGAATGTTTTACTCGATCTTTTCCCTCAGAGAGAACCTTTTACTCTGTCTTTTCCCTGAGTGTTTTACTCTTGTCTTTTCCCCGAGAGGCTTTTACTCTATCTTTTCCCTGAGAGAGAGGCTTTTACTCTGTCTTTTCCCCAAGAGAGCCTTTTACTCTATATTTTCCCTAAGAGAGAGCCTTTAACTCTCTCTTCCCTCAGCAAAAAACCTTTACTCTGTCTTTTCTGAGAGAGAGCCTTTTACTCTGTCTTTTCCCCCGAGAGAGGCGTTTACTCTATCTTTTCCCTCAGATAGTCTTTTACTGTCTTTTCCCTCAGAGAGCCTTTTACTCTGTCTTTTCCCTCAGCGAGAACCTTTTACTCTATCTTTTCCCTCAGAGAGAGTATTTTACTCTGTCTTTTCCCTCAGTAAGAAACTTTTCCTGTCTTTTCCTGAGAGAGAGCCTTTCACTCTATCTTTTCCCTCAGAGTGAGGCTTTTATTCTGTCTTTTCCCTCAGAGAGAACCTTTTACTCTTATCTTTTCCCTGAGGCTTTTACTCTGTATTTTTCCCCAGAGAGAACCTTTTACGCTGTCTTTTCCCTCAGAATGAACCTTTTACTCTGTCTTCCCCCACAGGGAGAACCTTTTACTTAGTCTTTACTGTCAGAGAGGCTTTTATTCTGTCTTTTCCCTCAGAGAGAGAGAGAGAGAAATAGAGAGACCCCTTCTGTTTTCAATTCTCCTCAGAGAGAACTCTTTCTTCTTCCTTTCTCCCTCAGAGAGGGAAAGCCCTTTCTTCTGGGACCCCCTTTCCCCTTCCTTCTGCCTTCACTTCCCTTTGGAGAAAGCCCATTCTTCTCCCTTTTCCCTTCAGGGAGAGCCTGAGAGGGAAAGGCTCCTTCTTTCTGCCTTCAGTGCTCTACTTCTTCCCTCTGAGAAAGTGACCTTCCTTGGGCCTTCACTTCTCCCCAGAGGGAGACCCCTCTATTCTGCCTTTTTCCCCTCAGAGAGAGAGAGAGAGACCCCTTCTTTCGGCCTTCCCCTCTCCTCAGAGAGAGAAAGATACCTCTCTCTTCTCCCTTTTCCCCTCAGAGAGAGAACTTTTCTCTGAGAGAGAGAGACCCTTCCCTTCCCTCCTCCCCTTGCTCGCCCTCCTTTTTCCCTCAGGAGCCCCCCTCGACCTGAACCCTTTTCCCGCCCAAATTGGGCCCGTCGGTGGGCGTGGCCTGGGCGGGTGGCATTCGGCCCCCTCCCCTGCCCTCCCTCAACCACGCATGCGCACCCCGGCCCCTGCCTGCCTGGCCCCGCCCGCCCTCTCTCTCTCTCGCCCCGACCGAAAAGAGGACTGAAAGAAGGAAAGAGAAGGAAAGAAGGAAGGGCGGCTGGGGAGAAAGGAGGAAGAGGAGGAAGAGAAAGAGGAGGAGGAGGAGGAGGAGAAGGTAGGCCAGGGCGTGCCTCTCAGCATGGGCGGGGGGGTGTGTGTCTGGGGGGGGGGTCTCTTTGGGGCCTGGCCACTCCACCTGGGCACCACCAGGCCACTCCACCTTCACCCCCACTTCCTGCCACAGAGCGCACCCTGCCAGTCATAATAGGCATTCCTATAGGCAACTCCATAGTATGGGATATTCAGCCTGTTGTGAATCAGAACCCTTCCATAATAATGGTAATAATAATAATATAAGATAATGTAATAATATAGCAATATAATATGATAGTAATAATAATAAATAAAATAAAATATAATGTATTAATATATGAAGAAATAATATAACATTAATACAATAACATAATATAATAGTAATAATAATATAGTTTTAACAATAATAAAAGAATAATAAATAAAATAACACAATATATAATAAAATAACGATATAATAATATAAGATGATGTATTGATATATTAATAAATAATATAATATTAATACAATAATATAATATAATAGTAATAATAATAATATAATAAAATAATGATAATAATAAAAATAATGTATTAATATATTAATATAATAACATAAGGAGGTCCTCCATCGTGCATGTAGCAGGGCTCAGGGTGCATTGCAGCAGGTGGTCAGTGGTTTGTTCTTCTCCGCACTCGCATGCCGAGGATTCCACCCTGTAGCCCCATTTCTTAAGATTGGCTCTGCATCTCGTGGTGCCAGAGCGCAGTCTGTTCAGCGCCTTCCAAGTCGCCCAGTGTTCTGTGTGCCCAGGGGGGAGTCTCTCATCTGGTATCACCCATGATTGAGGTGCTGGGTTTGGGCCTGCCACTTTTGGACTCTCACTTGCTGGGGTGTTCCAGCGAGTGTCTCTGTAGATCTAAGAAAACTATGTCTTGATTTAAGTCGTTGACGTGCTGGCTGATACCCAAACAAGGGATGAGCTGGAGATGTCTCTGCCTTGGTCCTTTCACTATTGGCTGCTACTTCCCGGCGGATGTCAGGTGGTGCAATACCGGCTAGACAGTGTAATTTCTCCAGTGGTGTGGGGCGCAGACACCCTGTGATAATGCGGCATGTCTCATTAAGAGCCACATCTACTGTTTTAGTGTGGTGAGATGTGATCCAGAAGCAACCAAACAATATGTTAATAATAAAATAATAAAATATAATAATATATTGATAATATAATATTATGTTGACCAAAAGGTCACAGGTTCAAATTCGGGGAGCAACTTGAGCTTCCGCTGTCAGCCCCAGTTTCTGCCAACCTAGCAGTTAGAAAACATGCAAATGTGAGTAGATTAGTTGGTACCGCTCTGTCAGAAAGGTAATGGCGCTCCATGCAGTCATGCCGGCCTCATGACCTTGGAGGTGTCTACGGACAACGCTGGCTCTTCAGCTTAGAAATGGAGATGAGCACCAACCCCCAGAGTTGGACATGGCTGGACTTAATGTCAGGGGAAAACTTTTACCTACCTTTACCTAATAATAATAAATCTTTATTTATATCCCACTTTTCTCTCATGAATGAACCCAAACCAACTTCCAGCATGTTCAAATGCAATATAAAATCAACAACTATCTAAGACACCAATATAAAATATAATGAACAATCAGTAAAACATAAGTAATACAAATAATAATAATAATAATAATAATCTAAAGGGCACCATGGATTTTCCCTCTATGGGTTCAACTAGTAATAATGATAATAAAAATAACCTAAAGAGTGGTTTGAATCCAGGGAGCGAGCTGAGCTCCTGCTGTTAGTCACAGCTTCTGCCAACTTAGCAGTTAGAAAACATGCAAATGTGAGTAGATCAATAAGTACCATTTCTGTGGGAAGTTAACAGCATTCCATGCAGTCATGCTGGCACATGATCTAGGAAGTGTCTATGGACAACGCTGGCTCTTCAGTTTAGAAATGGAGATGAGCACCAACCCCCAGAGCTGGATACGACTAAATGTCACGGGGAAACCTTTACCTTTACCTAAAGAGCACCAGCCAGTATCTAAAACATATTGTAACTGGCCCTCTGTCTCCACTGATTCTTCCTCCATGGATTCTACCAATAAGAACAACAACAACAAGCACTGGCCATTGTGTAAATATATTTGAATCGTCCCTCTGTCTCCACGGATTTTCCATCCATGGATTCAACTACTACTACTACTACTACTACTACTACTACTACTATTACTACTACTACTAATAATAATATAGCTGGCCCTCTGTCTCCATGGATTCTCCCTTTATGGATTCAGCTAGTACTAAAACTACTACTACTACTACTACTAATAATAATAAAACTGGACCTCTATCTCCATGGATTTAAATAATAATAATAAT